ATGACATCTTGAATTTTGCATGCATATGTATGGAAATAGAAAACACTTTACTGAGTGAGATAACCCAGACCCAAAAAGAGGAATGTGGTATGTACTCACTCATAAGTGAATTCTAGCCATAAACAAAGGACATTGAGCCTTTTGTTCGTGATCCTAGAGAAGCTAAGTAAGAAGGTGAACCTAAAGAAAGACATATAGTTATCCTCCTAGATATTGAAAGTAGACAAGGTCACCAGGCAATAGTTGGTAGCAGGGAGGCTGAGGTGGGTTGGGGGGAAGGGGAGATGGGGAGAGAGAAAGGAGAAGGGGAAGGTTGGGGAGAGCTTGGGGGAATGGGATGACTGAGATGGAGGAAGGATATGGGAGCAGGGAAGAAGATATCTTAACTAAGGAAACAATTTTAGGGTTGGCTAGAGTCTATGGAGGTTCCCAGGTGTCCAAGGAGATTTCCCCAACTAGGTCCGTGGGCAGCAGAGGAGAGGGTGCCTGAACTGGCCTTGTTCCATAGCCACACTGATGAATATCTTGCATATCACCATAGAACCTTCATCTGGCAGTGGATGGAGATGGAGACAGAAACCCACATTAGAGCACTGGACTGAGCTTCCAAAGCCCAGATGAAGAGCAGAAGAAGGGAGAATATAAGAAAGGATGGCAGGATCGCGAGGGGTGCATCCACCCACGGAGACTGTGGAACTGAACTAGTGGGAGCTCACCAAGGCCAGCTGGACTGGGTCTGAACGAGCATGTGATCAAATCGGACTCTGAGTGTGGCTGACAATGAGGGAAGACTGAGAAGCCAATGATAATGGCACTGGATTTTGATTCTACTGCATATACTGGCTTTTTGAGAACCTATTCTGTTTGGATGCACACCTTCCTAGGATGGAGTGGGGGGTGCTTGGACTTTTCACAAGGCAGGGCACCCTGACATCTCTTAGGACTGGAGAGTGAGGGGGAGGGGGAGTGGGGGGAGTGAAAGGGAAATAGGAGGATGGGAGGAGGTGGAAAATTTAAATAAATAAATAAATAAATAAATAAATAAATAAATAAAAATTATTTCTTTACCTTTTCTCATGAGCACCAAGGTGTTAGTAACCAAATCTTTAGTAATGAAACTATAATCGCACATGTTATTTTCTTTCATGGATTGGAAGGAACTATTCTTGAGGACCAGATCCAGCTCATCTGGCTCTAATTTCTTTTTTTTTTAAAGTAAATTTTATTAAATTATAAAAGTTTCCATTTCCGCCCCTCTTCCCAACACCCTCCCACTCCCCCCACTGCCTCTCCTCCTCCCTCTTTGTCCCTTAGGGAAGTCAGGGTTTCCTGCCCTGTGGGAAGTTCCAGTTCCTTCCCCCTCCTTCCAGGTCCAGGAAGGTGAGTGTCCAAACAGACTGGATCCCCAAAATCCAGTATATGCAGAGGAAACAGGTCCCAGTATCATAGTCAATGGCTTTTCAGAAAGACTTCGGGCCAGCCACAGTCAGAGAATCCGGCCACATTCAGAGAATCTGGTTAGATCACCTCCTCGTTCAGTCCCAGTCCAACTGGCCTTGGTAAACTCTCATTAGATCCGTTCCCTTGTATCAGTGGGAGATAGCATCCCTCGCAGTACTGATTTCGTTTTTCATGTTCTTCCTCCTTCTGCTCCTCATTTGGACCTCGGGGGGCTCAGTCCGGTGCTCCAATGTGGGTTTCCGACTGTATCGCTGTCCTTCGCCAGATGAAGGATCTATGGTGATAAGCAAAATATACATCAGTATGGTTATGGGCCATGGCCGATTCAGGCACCCTCTCCTCTGTCCAGAGAACAATCTGGGGGATCTCTCCTTGGACCTGGGATCCCATATATAATCAAGTCTCCTGTAAACCCTAAAATGACTCCCTTAGTTGAAATATATTCTTCCCTGATCCCATATTCATCCTTCCTCCTCCCCCCATCCCAGGCCACCGAGCTTTCCCCGTTCCTCCCCTACTCCCTTCTCTCTAACACTCTCCCCTTCCATCAACCCTCCCACCCCCCCATGCACCCGAGGTTACCTGGGACTCTTGTTTATTTCCTACCTCCTGGTGGATAGCTAAATAATCTTCATCAGGTTCATCTTCTTATTTAGCTTCTCTAGGATCACGAATAATAGGCTCAAAGACCTTTAATTATGGTTAGAATCCACTTATGAGTGAATACATACCTTGTTCCTCTTTTTGGGTCTGGGTTATCTCACTCAGTAAAGTGTTTTCTTTACTGAGTGAGCTCTTCCTCACCAGGACCCTGTCAAGGCCAGAAGCAAACTCACCCCTCCGATGGCCCTCTGCTAGAAGTCAGGGCCCCTGCTGGTCAGGAATGTGGCTGAGCTGGCACCTGGTCCACCTGTCCTCAGGGAGGCCTTTAAGACCCAGGAACTGCCTCAAGCCGGGCTGCGCCTACAGCCCAGGCCCAGCTTGCAAGGCAGCTGAGCTGGGGAAATTTTATGGCCCCAGGGGGAAGGGAGAAAAATAGGAATTCGTACCTGGATGGGAGCTAGGATGGCAGGCAGGAGGGGGTAGCCAACACTGCAGGGCGACCTGTGCGTCTATGGGGTCGGGGAACACCCAAGCTCCTCCTCA